GCTAGCAAATCTGATGCGAACCTCCTGAGAATCCCTCCAGCACACCCACCTTTCAACGGTCCCCAAGGATGTCAGTAGCTTAAATGAATAAACGGTAAAAGTGCATAATGTTACAGGGAATTTTGGTGGCTTAGCAATAAGGAGCTGTGCTGCCAAGCCAAAGGCATGTGGTTCGAATCCACCAGCTACTCTGCAGGAGAAAACAGGCAATCTCTTCTCGCGTGATTTATTGTTTCTAAAAACCTGCTGGAAGGTCGGCTGTGAGTTGGTCCCAACTCTCAACAGCACATAATGGCTCAAGAATGACACACACACGCGCGCACAGAGGCAGGGACAGGCAAACCTCATCTCACGTACTTTGGACGTGTTGTTCGGAGGGACTAGTCCTTGGCAAAAGCCTTTATGCCGGGAAAGGTCTGAGAGGAGAAGACCCTCAACAAGACGAACTGACACAGCGACTGTAAGAATGGGTTCAAGTACATCAGATGGTGAGGACGGCGCATGATCGAACACGGGCCAGAACTGCCGCACACAGGTGGCCAGTTACAGGTGACCTGATGCACTAATCACATTAAAAATGGGAGGAAACACTGGAAAAATGAACCACAAGAATGGAAATGTTAATTTACTGAGCACCTACAGAGCAAACTTCGTAGGGCTGTGGAGGCCACAGTGATGACCAATTGGCCTATAACCCAGTTGAGTGAGGACACCTTCACTTAGCAAATACAATGTGAAATGAAAAGGCGATGATTTTTCTGTGGTGAGAGAGAAATAAAGAACGGAGTGTGATAGGATTTTAAAGGACAGAGAACAGTCATCATAGGCTGAAGGAAGATTATTAGGGGTCATGTGGAGAGGGGAGGATTGTTCAGCCCTCAGAAGATCAGAGCTGCCACTCGTCCTGCTGGGGCAGGAAGGATGGGGACACAGGTCAGGACACAGGCGGGGGAACGGGAATGAGGACGCAGGGGCCCTGCGTGGGTAAGCAGGTGGTGGTTTGGGTGAGCAAGATGCAAAATGTCTTTCACATTCTGGGAAGTGCGCACACGCTGATTTGGGGATATCACCGAGAGGATGAAGTAAACCCCTGGTGAGCCCCCCACGTCCAAATGACCATCCCACAGGGTCCCGCAGTCCCCTAAAGATTGCTTTGAGGAGTGGTAGGGAATGCAAAGGAAACACTGACAAAGGAGATTAATCAGAACTGGTTTTGACAAGCTCTGTGGCAATGCGACAATTAAAACAGACTTATAAGGGAAAAAAAAAGAGGAGCAAACTGGGGGGGGCTAGAGAAAATAGGGCAACAATGAATGAATTGAAATCCAAAATCTCTGTAAATATTCTTTAAAATTAGTAAAATAAATTAAAAAAATACATTTTGGACAAAGGGGGAAAAAGATTGCTTTGAAATATGCTCTGTGCATCAGTGTATTCGCAACGCTGTTCTGTGGACTCCCCGCCTAGCTCCCAGGAAGCCCCTGAAGTAGGGAAATACGGTCTCTGCGTCCAGCAGCAGAATGTTCTCAGTTTTCCCTTACAATGCTGTTATCTGAGAAAACCACCATCACTCTGGTCCATCACATGTTACAGAGATCTAAGAATTTATACTGCTTATAACAAATGCATTTTGGGTTGTAAACAGCTTCATAACCAATGAAAGTTTTAGAATACAACAGAGCTTGGGGCACTGTCCACTCTACGGGGGTGGAAACAGCTGCTTGCTTCTGGACTCGAGGCTTCACATGCCTCACTGTCTGTCTTCATCTCAGGACAGGAAGCCGGAGTGACTGGACAAACCTCCTGTGTTTCTAACAGTCAATGGCTTGATCACACAGCTTTTCTGGGCAAGTGAGGTACTATTAACAACAGGGCTGTGTGTTACCAATGGAAGGAAAGTGATGGACCATGTACATTGGGGGCTGTACACAGTCCAGAGAGGAGCCAGGGAGCTGACAAGTCTGGAAGCAACAGGGCTGTTTTTGAACTTGAGTCCCATGCACTTGGCCCCAGCCCAGAGCGGCATGCTGCTCCTCTGTGGATCAGAGGCCAAACCAGGAGGGCTCCTGGCTTCCATCACACCCCTTCCCTCTCTCCCTCTCCCAACTCGATAAATCACTTCTGGCAGGTAGCTGGGAAGCAGCTGCGAATGACAGTTCTGCTCTGGAGCACAGGAAGCCACCTTTTAACCCGCCTGCTGTTGTTTGTCTCTTGAAACGTGACAAAGGAACAGATGTAAGCAACATGCCAACTGTTGAGAGGATCCGCTCGGAGCACTATAGGAAGCCTGCTCAGAGCCGCGTCACACCAGCCCTTCCATGGAGGGGCGGGGGGACGACCGCTTCATTTCCTGATGCTCCTACGCACACCCTGCTCAGGGCTGGACCCTCCACATGCCCAGGCAAATCAGGCCCTCAACCCCGTCCAAGCGCCGCTGAGGTCCAGCCTGATTTATCTTCCTCCGTCTCTTCCTGGACTCTCATATCCCCACCTGCCTCACTTACAGTCTGTGCTGGTCTCTGAGCCTTCAACAGACCAAGCTCATCTCTGTGCAAACCGACCTGTGATCAGCTTGCAGGCTGGAGCCCACACATCTTTGTAAACACAAAGTAGTGTTTTCAGAGCTCTGGTGGCCTAGTGGCAAGAAGCTGTGCTGCAATCCAGAAGACATGTGGTTCAAATCCACCAGATGCTCCGTTGGAAAAGAAGGGGCAATCTCCTCCTGTACCAGTAGGATCCAATTCAACTGTACACAACAACAACAACAACAACAAAAAACACCAAACCAAACCAAAACAATCCAGCTTTGAGCTCTGGTGGCCTAGTGACAAGAAGCTGCGATGCAATCCCAAAGTAGTGTTTTCAAACCACTGGTTGCAAGCCATTAAGTGGACTGGCAAGTAGTTTAATGGACTGGAATCAACACTTTTTAGGAGCCTGGTGGCGGCCTGCTTCCCTAACAGTTTACGACCTTGGAAACCTCACAGGGCTGTCTTGTTCTGTTCTATGGGCTTGTAATGAGATGGAACAGACTTGACCGCAAAAAATGGGTTTGGTTTTTAGTTTAATCAACATTCACAAATATGTCACAAAAATCAGCTCACAGCGATTCCGGGGCATAACTGGGGGAACACCAGCTGGCTATGACAGGACATTGTGCAATGTGTATTCATTTTCTTAGGTGTGGCAATGGTGGACGGCGGTGGACAATACCTCATTCTTAGGAGATACACACAGATGGATTTAAAGGCAACTTATTTTCAATGGAGCTTGGCTAGGAACTGAAATGTGGAGGTTTGTGTCCTGTGGGTAGCCACAGGTGCCCTGAGAGAAAGGGCTGGCCACTGACTTCTAGAAAACCAGCCACTGAGATGGTTACGGAGCGCAGCTCTGTTCTGACACACACGGGCCACTAGGAACTGAATCAAATCGATGGCAGGAGAGTACTGTCAAACGGCTCGGCAAAACAGAGGAAGAGAGAGACAGCGCGAACACTTGCTGTTAGGTTTTCATTCTGAGCATGACTCCTAGTGACCCCGATCTGAACGGTGCCCTAAACTCATCCTCTCTGACATACCTGAGCCCATTGCTGCGGTCCCTGTTTTAATCTGCCTGGTTGAGGGTCTTCCTCTGTTCCGCTGATCCCCCACTTTTCCAAGCCTGATGTTCCTTTCTGAGGACTGAGCTCTCCAAGCAACATGCTCAAAGTCTGTGAGATGAAGCTTCGACATCCTCGCCTCCAAGGAGCACTCTGGCTGCACCCTCTCTACGACATCTCTGTTTGTTCTTTTGGGCTGTCATTGGGATATTCAGTACTCTTCTCCAACACAACTCAAAGGTGGATGGGGTAACCATAAATGATGTATATTTGTATAAATAAAGGAAATCAGGCAAAATGTCACAACTGTCCAGTTTAGGTACAGGGTATAGGGTTTAATTTTTCTGTACGTTTGATAATTATAATAAAAATCTGGGAAGAAAATGAAATACGAGCGAAAGATACCAGAACACGGTACCTGAAGCCCAACATGTCTCCGGACGGTACCACCGCTCAGGCCTTAACAGTGCATCTAGGTCAGGAGTTTAGAAACACTGCCCTCCAGCTAGCCCCACACACGCAGTAGGCAAGGAACCATCTGTTAATTAACTTCTAGGAACAGAGGAATTACACGCAGAAGCAAGCGGCAAAACCATTTTGTCTCTAGTTACTTTTCCATTAACTCAAGCTGTGTCAAAATAGCCAAGCCCTTCCCTGCCAGGGCTCACTAGGGCCTAACCCAACTTGGCCTCCAGGCCTTGATTAGCAGCGCTTAATTACTCATCTGGTTCTTCTCTTGCGGATCCCGCCCTCAGAGGGAGGGAGGTGCTAACAGAAGACCCTGTTAACCGTTGTTAGGTGTCTAAGAGCTTCAGATCTGATCCCCGCCCTATCCTGCAACTATCCTCGTGGACTCTGTCCCCGCAAGGTCTCTGTGGCAGTCACTGGTCACTGTCATCTTGTGGAGGGTCTTCCTCTCTCACTGACCCAGCACGGTGTCTCTCTCCAAGGACTGGCTCCTGAAAACACACCCAATGTAAGAGGCATCCTTTGCTTTAACAGCACTCTGCCTGGACCTCCTTGCTTGATCCTTTGACAATCCACCGTATACTCAATATTCTTCTCCAACACACAACAGAAGGGTGGCCAGCTGCCCAGGGACTGGGTGTGTGGGGATGTCTTTCACGGCTTAAAATGAGGACAGTTCCAGGTAAACCAAAGTGGAGAGAACTCAGGACTGAACCAGGAGAGCAGATGCTGTGCTGTGTGGCACCACTGCAGCAGGAGAAAAACAATGACCCCCCCAAGAGGTCTCTCCTCTGGGACCCCAACTGCACAGCAGCCAACACACTGCCAGCTGTCCTAAAGCAGGACTGCTCCCTGATCAGTCATTCACCAGATAGTCTGGAAAGCAAAGGAGAGAGGAAACTAGTCTGGAAAGCAAAGGAGAGAGGAAACTTACCGTGAACACGTCATCGTCACCTAGCTCGGCTTCATTATGGATTGTGGAAGATGATGTGGTTGAACCTGAAGGGACAAAAAGCCATAAGAAAATGTGTTTCCAGGGGGGACGTCAGATACAGTCACTTAAAGGGTGGCTTCTGATACAACCTCATTCTTTTCAAAATGTGATTCACTAGCAGAAATGAGTTATCTGGGAATTAGATGCTTTTAATTTACTCTTCTTTAATTGCTTCTTGCCAGGATGCTCTCTAAATTAACTTGGCTTACTGTTGTTCCTAATTAATCACTCAGACCTCTGTGTTATCACAAGAAGAAGGGCCGAAAGAGAGGCACCATCGAGGGACAACCTTGTGTGCGGGCCCCGCGGCTCACTCCACCTCTGGTGGTGGCCTCGGGGTCCCTGTGGTTTAATGGGGGGGAATCACTGGATAATAAAACCCATGTTATACACACCATAACCTCCCTGGGTAAACTGGGGATTCTGACTCAACAGCTTGTCCTCAATTACTGCACCCCAAAACACAGACTGTGGGGAGTCAACTCCAAGCTGAAACTGGAGCAAGGAGAATTTCTCCTGCGAACCCATGGCTTCAGGGAGTTTACAGTGCTTTTTCAGAGGCAAAATGCCAGATCAGGTCAGAAAAGCCAGCTCATTCCATCATTGAACAAACTGTTGTTTAAAATTCAATTTATTTACTTTTTTCAACACCTTTCTTCATCCTGATTGGCAATCAGTAGAACTGTATTTTGAAAGAGACTGAACAAAAATTTACATCTATAAACAATCACTGACTGGCTTTCTTCTCAATAGTGCCAATAATGTGCATATAGAGATAACAGACCTTGCTAATGGCCCGAAGGGAAAACCCCCACAAAATTCATATAGTGACAGACACACTAAAAGGGAAATTTAGCCATCATCTCTTTTTCTTAGTTCAGTCTTAGGATTTTTTTTTAAATGTGCACTTAGAAAATGTTTTACTATTGCATAAAAGGGTTAAGAAATATTTGCAGTTACAAAACAAAGGAAAAAATAAAAGAAATATTTACAATGAGGGATCAGGAGACAAAAGAAATTTAATAAAGGTCCCAAAATATTCTCTGCCAAAAAAAGAGGGAAACACACCCAAAATTCCCCTGTAGAATTCCTGGTGGAATTATTCCAATCAATGTTTATAGTAAGTTCAATAGAAAACAGGTAGAGTGTACATGGAAAAAGTTACAAATGTCATTATGTGCCGTCGAGTTGACTCTGACTTGAAGTGGCCCGATGTACAACAGCTCTGAAGCCTGTTCTATCAAGCTGAACTCCATCTCCTCTTCCACACCAGCTCTTTGCCTTCCTCGGATCCCTCCCCTAAAAGATCTGGTATTGACGGGCCTGCCCCAACCCCGCTGCAGACAAACCACAAATATGACAGTCAGCTGCTGGGCCTGGACAGAACCTGGACATGCCCGAGGCCCTACGAAGCATGCAGTGATCAATACCTTCAATAAGGTCTTCGATGGCTTTCCTCACTCCCCTGTCAAAGGCGCGGGCGTCAGCAGGGCTCTGGAAGGTTAGGCCAAACTTCCTATTATCGACCTTCCAGTGATGAAATGTCGGGTTGGCTTTGGTGTAGACCAAGTCCTTTCTCACAAAGCATTCTAGCACCACCTGAAGGGTAGAAACACACAGGTGAGTTATTTGTGGGGCTGCCAGGCAGGTTACTTGTGGGGCTGGCTTGCTCATTCTCCTCCCTCCGGCCTCTGACTGTGCAGGTTCTGGGTCTCTGCTCCAGCCCAGGTTTACTGTTTCTACGTCATAGCCTTCAATACAACCTCATCCTAACGGGGTTGAAAATGGATCTGTCTGGAATTACTGCAGCGCGTTCTTCTTCCATCCTCCTCGTTTCTGGCAACGGTAACGCCTCTCTGCTCATCACTGAAGTGGCCTTAAAACCACCACAACTCACAACTACGAGGTATCATCTCACCCCAGTAACAACAGCAAAATTCAAAGAGCAGCAAACAATAAATGCTGGCGAGGTTGTGGAGAAACTGGAACCCTTAGTCACTGTTGGTAGGAGGGTAAAATGGTGCAACCACTGTGGAAGGCGGTATGGCACTTTCTCAAAAAGTTGCAAATAGAGATACCATTTGACCCAGCAATTCCACTACTGGGAATATACCCTAAAGAAACCAGAACTGTCACCCAACCATTTATATGCACACCATGTTTACTGCTGCTTTGTTCACAATAGCAAAGAGTTGGGAACAACTCAAGTGCCCATCAACAAATGAATGGATAGAGAAACTGGTATATCCACACAACGGAATATTATGCAGCACTGAAAAAGGAACACATGAAACATTATACAAAATGTGTGACCCTGGAGGACATTATGCTGCATGAAATATCTTAGTCATAAAAGGACAAACACTGCATAGGGCCACTGTTGTAAAACAGGACTGACATGGGGGTTGGGGAGAAACTAAGGAAAAAAGGGGATAAAGAATGTATACGGGACTGAAACAGATAAGAGAAAGAGCTGTATAAAAGGAATATAGATTAGGTATTATGGGCATGACATCAGTCCAGAATAAGAGCTGCATAGTAAAGTGGACTGGGGGCTTGGGGCGGGGGGGTAACTGTATGACAATGAAATAAATTTTTTTTCCAAAGAGAAATGCAAACTGAGGGTGGGAAGCAGGGAAGAAAAAGAGCAACAATGAAGGAATGGAAATGAACAAACCAAACAACCCCAAATCCCACCACACTCATCTCTGTCTCCTTTGCACAGGAGGGAGCTCTGGGGGCTTACTGACCAGTAAGGAGTTGTGCTGCTGACCCCAAGTCAGGAGGTTCAAATCCCCTAGTTACTCCACAGGAGAGAGATGGGCAGTATCTTCCAATGCAATTTACTGCCTCTACAAACTCACTGGAGGGTGGGCTAGGAGTTGGTTCTGACTTGACAGTACAGAACAACAACCACCCCTCTAGTGAGCTCTGGTGGTACAGTGGTAAAGAGTGGAGCTGAGCCCGAAGGCAGGTGGTTCGAACCCACCTCCTAAAGTATGATTTCATGTCCTCGTCATTGTCTTTCATATCAATCTCATTTCAACTGCCACTAACATCATCTGGGACTCTACAAACCTTTCATCTGGACTGAACAATCTTTATGTTTTTAGTCTCAAAACTGCCTTTACGGAACTTCCAATTGTGGTCTATTGTCTCTGACTCTCAAACATTTTAGCTCTAAAATGGAAATAACAGTCAGGTTATTTAGTGAGAACATGTTATCTAAGCATGCCCTGGAAACAATGGATTAATTACAAGTTTAAGAAGGTCATTTTCCAGTGTGTCTCCACCATCAGAATCTTTTTCTACCACTTCTCCCGGTCAAATGCATGATTTAGTCCTTCATTTCAAATCCTCCAACAGTTCCACGAGCATGATCCCTGTTCTCTAACTAGACTGTAGTAGATTGAGATGAAGAAACAAATCCCTCTGTGTCTCATACATACAGATACAGAATAAGAGAAAACAAGTATATGAATTTAAACAGCATCCTTTAGTCATACACACCCCTCAAAATATCTGCAGTATTTATTCCTATGGCTTCATTACAAAGACCATAAGGACTGTGTTAATTTTTAATAACTTATTCTAGTAAAGTATTGCATTACACATGATGAAATCCTATGAATTTAGATTAATTGAAGGGAAGGAGTGAAGACCTGCTTAAATTAGTATACATTTAAATTAGAGAATGACTTTAAGTTAGTATAAATCTCAAGAATGTATCTAGCAGGCACAAATGAATTGCTACCTAATAAATGTGCCCAAACTTAATTAAATAGATGAGAATAATCAAAATGGCATATCAAGCAGCAGTCCTAAGCTGCTAATTTTATTACACTGTATCAAAAGAGGACAACAGCACTGCCTTCAGTCTATTTATAATCCAATTCCTTATTGTGCCCATTTCTCCCCTATGAATAGGGCAACGATTAAATGTCAGCCCAACCCCATTCCAAGTTGGGGAAACCCAAATACACCAAGGCTTTAACTAACAAATGTTATCTATTTTAGAATTTATTAGTCTCAATTCAAAGTCTCAAAATAAACATTTTATAAAAATGAAGACACTGAGTTTCTCCATATTTTTAGAGGGGGGTGAAGTCTTTGGTTAACAGTTTTCAAGCTAAAGATTCTGTCAAAGGCCTAGTTCATTTGGAAAGGGTGAACAACCTAAATTATGACAAAAATGAAAAGGGCCAAATTCTTCAAAATCAAAAAGCGCCTCACTGCTGTCAAGTCTGTGCGGACTGAGAGCCGACCCTCCTGAGGGTTTGCAAAGGCTGTAAACCGCACGGGAGGAGACTGCCTGTCTTTCAAGGAGCTGCAAACACATGCAACTTCATAGAGAAGGCTGGCATACGTGCCGTCAGGCATGAGACAGGCTTGTTAAAATATCTTTTAAAACGAGAAGCATGGGAAAGAAAACAAGACAAAAAATCCCTACACATTACCTTTGCTTGGGAGGCTGAATCAATTGTACAGAGAAAAACCATTCACGCAGCTTAGAGGTGGACGTGAAAGGCTCCCCTTTCCTCAGCCCTCTAACCCTCAATTCCTTTCCATTTCCAGAGTCACCCACTGCTGGTGTGGGGGCACTACTCCAGGGCCCTGCCTGTCTATGGCTTTGTGAAATATACCCGCGTGTCCGTGTATGACTGTACACCCTGGCAAACTGTTCCACCTCCTGGCGCAAGGTTCGGCAATTCTTTTCTTTCCCTTATCAGAGTGTGTCTAAGGGAATACAGGTAAAGGACTCTTGTTAACAATGATATAATATTCCACAGTGGTTGATTCATTCACACTTATGTGTTACAGTTTACCCATCCACTTTCCAAATTAACGGGCATCTAGGGGGTTGTTTTTAATTTGGTTCTTTTTATGGAAAATGTGGCGATGAACAGTCTTATACATTAGCAGTTCTCAAAGAGCGCCCTTTGGGTCCTCGAAGCACACATACTCCAGACTTTTTCAGGGGGTCTGGTGGCAAAACTAGTTTTTATAATAAAAAGACGACTCCTTCCCCCTGTGTTGCTATCTGCACTAAGAGTTCAAAGGAAAAGTGCATAAACGGCTGCTGTTAATAGCATGGATTCTGGCGGGGGCACCAAACAGCACTATTAGGGGAGCAGATTGGTAAAAAAGTCAAGACTGAGCAAAAGTACTGATGAAAGAGTACGCGCTATTTTACCAAATCTTGACCTTTACGCGCACGTCTTTTCTTTTGCGTGGTACAGACGAAAACATATACTTGATGTTTTTTTAGCTGTAATGAATCTTATTATTTTTTAAGTTGGATTTTCATTGTTGCACATTTCCCTCCCTCACCCCCCAAAAGGCACTTAAAAAATACATAGTGGTGGTGGTGGTGGTGTTGGTGTGCACTGTAGAGTCAGAACCGACCCACAGCTGACCCTCCAGTGGGTTTTCAGAGGCAGATAATCGCACAGGAGACTGCCCATCCTTCTCTGCTGGATCAGCTGGTGGCCTTGAAACGCGTGCCTTCAGGACTGCAGCACAGATTCTTGCCACTAGGCCACCAGAGAGAGAGAGAGAGTGTGTGTGTATTTTTTCATTTGTTGAGCTTCTGCATCAGGCCTGACATAAATGTAAAGATGCAGCTTTGGTCAAATTATTTGAAGAGTACCTACCTGTGTGGAAATTTATATTTGTAGAAGGGGTGGGGGAAAGGAGTATTAAGAGCAGCCTTTTTATTATTTGTGCATCTGAAGAGTAAATGCTGTCTCTCGGAACAGGCCCTGGCTACTTGTCTGGACGGTAAACTGGCCTCCACATATTTTCATGGGTCACCACTTTCATTTGCAAGAAAGGAAGAGGCCAACTGTAGTTATTCACATCTGAGCCTGGCAGAAACTTCCTTGCAATGAAACAAAGTGAGCCTCTTACTTCCAGGAAACTAACTGGTAGTATTTATTGCCAATAATAAAACTGGAACTTCCCAGTACTTAAAGACCTTACTGGGGTGACAGGAGGAAATGCAACGTTTTTTATATTGTGAGAGTGAAATATGGCAGTACAGTAAAAGCTGTGTGATTCCAAAGACCAGTATTTTCAAAATGAACAATGCTTGACAGCACAAAAGGCAGGTAGGAGAGGTCCCTTTCAAAGTGAAGGACAAACCAGTGGATCTTCATGTAACACAGTCTTGAGAGCACACTGGTGACATTTCAGATTCCATGTCCAACATTTAAGGGGACCCTGTGGAGGAGGTTTGTGTGTATCAGAGAAAAAGATCTACAAGTATCTGGAAGAGCTTTTAAACTATTTCTCTCTCCAGGAGTTACTTAACAGTGTATTTTCTTCATGTATTTCAGCTAATGCATCATTATCAAAGCAGGTGGAAAGCAGGAGTAGATATTAGAGGCCAGTTAGTTTCTAATTAAACCATGTATTAAAGAAATTTGTAAAAGCGTAAAATAATGCCACTCTTCTAGTTACTTTTATTATGGAAACAGGGAGTTCTGGTGGCCTAGTGGCAAGAAGCAGCGCTGCAATCCTAACGCTCGTGAGTTTGAGGCCTCCAACTGCTCTGCGGGAGGATGGGTGATCTCCTCCCATGCGATTAACTGCCTCTG